TATAGGGCTTCTATAAGGCTTCCATGTCCTAGAGGTTGGTTTTTTTTTTCTAAAGTTCTTTCTAGGCTTAGGGTTTAGGGTCCGAAAGGTGTGGGGGTTGAAAGCTTCTGGGCTCAGGACGTTCCGTGCATTTCAGGTTTGAAGATTTGGTCTATGTCGGCGGATGCTCCCAGATTCAAATGTTGATGTAGGAGCCTTGCACGCCACAACATGCTTGCTCTGCGCAGCCTCCATTCCCAGTGTAGTGACAACGGGGCTTCAGAGCATAAGAGATAGTAGTATGAACACGCATGGCAGGACAATGGATCATTGCTTTTTGGGCCAAACCCACACACGACAAAGACAACCAAACCCGACACTCTAAGCGAAGCCTAATTAAGCCGTAGACTCTCAGACTTCAAGCCTTACATGATACAGTCTCCAAGCGTGGCTTCTGCAAGGTGCTATACGTGCTTTCGACCATGGAGCCACAACATTGGTCTCCGTTGTTTCGTATTTTTTTGCGTGGGGGAGATTCGGATTTCGCCTCTCGGGCTTGGGGCTTACGTTCGAGGGTTCGAAGTGTGAGGTTGAAGGTTAAACTTCATAATGCAGTACCCACATCCCTGTAGCCGAAATTTTAGCCCACACGAGCTGGCCCAATCGACCTTATGAGCGGAAGCCAACAAAGCGCACTGGACAAACAGCTACTGGTAAGGATCCCGCAGAAGGAACCCCAAAGTTCAGGACCCTTGCTTGGATGCAGTCGCTCAGGTTGGGGAGTTGCAAGCTCTAGGGCTTGTGCCTTCCAGACTCGAAGCTTCTGGGTGCAGGTTTGAGGGTTTACATTCCTAAGCCCAGGCGTTCGGTTGGGATCTCCCTGGCCTTGGCGATATCGCTAATCTTGATGCTCTTGCCGATGTCGATGAGCTCATCCTACCAAGGCATTTTTGGGGTTGAGGGCCTCAGGGTGATTGAATAGTTTTTATCCGGGTTCTTCAAGGACTTCCGGGTTGAGGTCATAAGACGAGGAATGGGATACCCTAACACAGACGACAGTAGCATGCACAACAGCTGAAACACCCACAGAAACATGCCATGATGTGTACATGTATGCATATCTGCCTCCGCGTGCAAAGGAAGGATATGCACGTACGTATGTACGTGTACATGCATATATGCATGCATGCGTGTATGCGTTTGTATACATATATATATATATGTAAATTATGTACATATGTATATATGTATTTACGTATATATGTATACACATATACATATGTACACACATACACATACACATTGGTCTTCCCATTCTTCTTCTCTAGTCATGCCACTGCATGACAGCATCTCTGTTGCTACGACATGGCTCCTTTGAGGTCATGCGCTCGCAAGCGGCAAACTACAAACCCTGCCGCTTTCCTATACTCCTCCCCCGGTCGGGACGTAAGACACCAAGGCGCCTAATTAGGCGAATTGCGGAGTTTCTTCGAGGTCGCTAGCACTTTGGTTTAGGTGTTCAGGTGCACAAGAGGTAAGCCCATTAGCAATGATGTTCACCGAGCATCAGAGCGATAGCCACCCAGCAAACTGCAATGGCAACACTGGCGCTCAGAATCCTGCTTTCCTGAAGCGGCCTACCATGAAAGTCCGTCTCGCAGGCAGTATGTGCACCGCAGGAAGCAGCCATGTTGCTGTTCCGTAGTACTGCAAGAAACAATCCAAAATACGATGTCTGCCTGATTTTTTACAACCCTCCTGACGCCCTTCCGTTGGCGGCTAGCATCCGAGAACTCTCCCAGCCGGGATCCGCAGGCACGGTTCACCTGGACCTGCTACCCTTCCCCATTCCTTATGTCCCTCTGTATACACACACATATATATATATATATAATAATATATATACACACAATATCCCGAAGCCATAAGCCATCAAGCCCTAAGGTCAACAACCGTAACTTCCAATGCTAAAGGCTATAATCACACAACCCAAATCAGGTCTAAACCTAAAAGCGCTGAAGGACCCCGGCGTTGACAAAGCCCTGTCGCCTCTGTCTCGTTCTTCATCCGCTCCAGGAACGACGGGAGGCACTGTGGACCTTTGTAAATTGGTCCTAGGACACTATGCACGCCACAATGCTGTCACCCAGCTTGACGATCCGAATGACAGTAACAATGGTTTCAGGGTGCAGGACGGAGATATAGATGCGCTTCCATTAGTGCTATAGGATATTGAGGGTCTGCGGGTCGAAGGCTTCCAGCTCAACTTGCAGCTGGTCAGAAGCCCCCACTTCACCACGGAGTTCTGCTAAATCGCATTGTGCATTTCAAAAATGCTTAAGGTTTTTTGATTTCGCATAATAAATGTAATCGTGCACCTCTTGTCAGGCCTCCCCTGCAGATCGGAGTTCAACCACCTCCGAACCATCATACGCCTGATGTGAATGAAGTCGGGTGAAACCATATCATCTTCCAGTTTGGCTTGATGCCTAGATAGCCGAAATCCTACCTCCAGCTACAGGCGAACAGCGCGGAGAATCTGGGCCTTCACTTGCGAATTTCACTCTTTACATCGACACCGTTCCCGTATCAGGCCGACGGCCGCCGCATTTCGGTGCAATGGCCTCGTCCTTTTCGGCTGAGTTTGATTCGAGGTGAAGGCCACGAACTAGACTTTGTCAGCACGACCCCTTTAAGATCCTGATCTACGCAGATTACATGCAAACCCTACGTCCTAAACTCTAAACCTTGGTTGTTCCTGAAGTTCAAATCCGGGCTGCAATCCACTTTCACCTTGAACAATATAGGAGCTTCATGGAGCCACCGTAAACAGAGAGAGTGGCAATGCTGGCAACAAATCAACACATCTAGCACTAGGAATGACAGCAGTGATAGTAGATTTGCGCTGACGGTCATGATTGGCTGTTGCTCTGTGCCACCATGGAGCACTCCGCGATGAAGATGGTGAGCGAAAGCCTCGGGGCTTTGGCTGGAGATTCGTGGGCCCAAACTCCTGAATTCTTGAAGCCAAGCAAGCCCCAAAACTGCAATCTGCGCACTTCAGACCATGAAAGCAAAACACAGGATTGACCTCTGCGAATCCGAAACATTTAAACTCCTTTGGACTCGTTGCGATACTGTCTAATGAGTGCAGTCTTGGTTACGTGTCCTCCATGTATGCCTTGTATGACATCTTAGACTCCGTGAACGTGCAGGGTTCACAATCTGTGTAGGAATGTATTCCGAACGGCAATCCCCGCTGTCACCTTGACTACCGACACAAGCTCGGCCATTTTCCGTGATTAGAAGGGTTCACAAAGTTGGGGTGCTTTGGTCTACCTTGTGAATGCTGTTGCATAACTCCACCGATCCGAGAACAAGTCTACCTTCAAAATCTTGAGTCCCAAGACCCACAGTCATCTGAATGATCATCTCTCCTGCAACACATCCGCCCTCACCAGAAACTTACCACGAGCCCTCGTTTAGCTCTTGTGACCTCCACCTCGTTTTGGGCTTTACCAATACACGTCATTACGAAGGGTTACGCCAGTAATGGGGTCCAACAGCTGAATAAGTGCTGGATCTACCTAGTGAATGTCGGCTCTGATAACAGTTTTGTATGTAAGGCTTACAGGCCTTACAATTCCTACTGCCGTGCCCAGGAACTTAACAAGGCGACCCCCGCAAGCGACCATATTTAGATGCTCAAGCGCTGTCGACCCTTCGGCCGTATCTCTTCAGGACCGCCCATACATATTGTAGCCCCCCGGGAAACACGTATAAAATATATTATACACCCATGATAAGTGTTGCGAAGGTACGCCTTGCCCTCCAACCCGGAAGCCCTAAATCTTAAACCCGACAGGCTCCATCGTGAACCCTAACCAGGCCTGGCTAGCACATCCGACATCTTAGGAGTTTTCATGAGTCGCCGACAGGGTGAGCTCGGCGGCTTCGCTGAGATCGAACTCAGACATTTTGCCGCCTGCACACTCTGCCAATCTGATCTGCGGGTGTGTTGTTTCCACATCTAGGAACTCTCAAGTGATGTATAGTTGTTGAGGAGTTAAGACAGGCCTGGTAGGATCAGCCTGTCTTCGGCAAATATAGCCTCATTGAATAGTCATATCTCTTCTGTAAACCCCTGCGGGAACTTCTAGAAACTCCAAAGGGAGAGAGAGAGAGAGAGAGAGAGAGAGAGAGAGAGCCCCTTGATCTGCAGAACTCCCGTAGAATCGAGAAGTCTATCCCCACACAAGGTCCAGTGCCGCTGGATCCAGGAGGATTAGGACCACAGCGTAGACTGGCGCTCTGTAAGGTAATCTGTGAGCCCTAAGCCACGTTTGGCTTCTCTCTCTGGGTAGGTTCTAGGTGCGCGCAGAGTTTCGGATCAAGACTTCTCAGTCCAGCGTTCGGGGCTTGGTTTGAGGATCCTGGTTTTGCCATTCAATATGAGATGGAGGTTGGGTGGATCTTGGCTGTTGGGAGCTTCTGCATCGGAAGCTGCTTTCTTCTGGAGTAGACCTGGCAAGCCATGACTCACATGTATCTGACGCCTGCACTCCAATGATGTCGGTAGGCCCCAGCCTTCTCTCCGGTAAAAGCAAATCTTTGTGTGTCAGTGGAGGTTTGATCCCCAAATTCCTCAACAAGCGAGTAACAGAGACGCTAGCTGCTAGGCCTCTTATTCCAAACCTGAATGACACGAAGAGCTCTTGGGCAACACTGCCCGGCCTTTGCAGCCCAGCTCCAAGGGGAAGGGCACCTCGCAGTACAGCTTGCGTGCGGGCTTGACTTAGGACTTCGGAGTTTTATTTCGGGACATGAAGGGTTTATATTGGTGTGCATAGGGGTATCTCGCAGACACCCTGCCCAAGTGCCCAAGCTCTAAGCACCAAACCTCCGGCTGTGAAAGTGAGAGCAGGACGAGGCAGCTGAGACAGGTGTTCCGGGTTGCGGTGCCATCGCGTCTGGTGACTCCGGCTGAAATCCGAACTTCCCGGAGGGTAAAGCCACCATAAAGCATTGGATGTTTCCCCGCAGCTGCTACGGAATGAAAAGGCTTGGCAACGAGCGCTCGTACACATTCCTGTAAAAGCTTGCCAATGGAGAAGACTAGTGCACGAGGAGGGTTCACGCTCATCCCCCACGGAACCGGCGAAGAAACACGAGTTAAGGAAGTAGAGGCTCTGGGGAGTTGGGTTTCCTGGTTCAAAGGTTGCGGTCTAGATTCTTGTCATCCTTGTCCATTTTCATAATGTGGCACATCATCCCGCTTGATGAACGATCCCCTACAGGTTCGCTCGACTTGTTGTAGGACAGGAAAGTGGAGCCTATACCGAAGCTCGGCAGGCTGAGAAAAATGCGAGCTCGAATTCTTAGGGCTCTTGAGCTCTCTGCATGCTGAACCCTGGAGCAATCACCTCCTTAAGGGCGCTCAGAGGGGACCGGGAAGCTCGGCTTGAACTCGGGAGTAGATGAACCCAGGCCTGAAGTCTGACAAAGCAGCTGGGTAACATACGAAGAAGAGCCAGCATTATGCCCCCCCAATCTTTGGAATAGGTTTTGGGTTGTGTTGCTCATATTGAGGCTCCTACACGAAGTGTGGGCTGCCTTCTGCAAGCTGCCACCCTTGGACTGGACCCTGCCCCTTCATTGCTAAATCTCCTTCTCCACGACATGAACGCACTCGACAACCAGCAACAATTCCTCCCCAGCTGGCCTGCCGTGGCTTCGCATCGTTGGGGGCCTGACGGAAAGAACGGGACATGTCGGCGTACAGCCCACCGGCTTGACGCTTCCACGTTCCCGGCTATTGGTAGTAGTGGTAGTGGTAGTAGTAGTGGTAGTAGCAGTAGTAGTAGTAGCAGTAATAATAGTAGTAATAGCAATAGTAGTAGTAGTAGTAGTAGTAGTAGTAGTAGTATTAGTAGTAGTAGTAGTAATAGCAATAGTAGTAGTAGTAGCAGCAGTAGCAGTAGCAGTAGCAGTAGCAGTAGCAGTAGCAGTA